ACTTGGGAGGCTGAATCTAAAAGACTCAGCAGCCCCACGCACAGGACAGGGAGAGCCCAGGGCCTCTTGGGCACTCCTGCTTGACCTGCCATTCACAGCCCCAGGAAATACAGCAGGAGGAGCTGGCTGGGCTGTAATGGAGAGGGGACATTCCAGAGGGACAGCAGGAAAATGCCACAGTCTCCACCTGGTACTGGAGCTAAGGAGATGCCACCAGTCAAGACTTTTTTCCTGTTAATGGAGAGATCGGGCCTGCAGGATACCACTGGGCAATGAAAACAGCCCCCAGCTGGGTGAGCAGGCGAGGGGGCAGGGGTTGCAGGACTCTGCTGGCTGCCTCCACAGAGCGCGCAGAACTGAATGGCACGGGGTTGGGAGACCCCGCAGCTGGGCGACTGCTGGTGGTTTCTCCTCTCCCAGCTTCTTCCCTCACACCCCCATTCCGTCCTGCCTGGGCCTGGTCTTGCTGCCTTGGCCCATCTGGCCCACCTTTCCTCACTGTCACTGAGACTGACGTGGCCATCGCAGGACCCCATGGCTCACAGCAGGCAGGACCAGACCCCTCCGGCGGCCTCCATCACATATCAGCTGGAGGCCCAACTGCCAGCACCTGCGCCAGAGCAGAGGCGGCGATTCCTCATGCCCGCCTTCCCCCTGAGCCGCGGGACAGGTCCTGGGGTCCTGCTGAGGTCTGCCCCTGGCACTGAAGACGTGGTCAGCCTGCAGACTGCTGTGTGCCCTGCCATCTAGGGCGCTGGGAGAGTGTTTGTGGTTGGTTTTCTACTAGATTGATGCAGGTTTAATTAAGTGCCTGAACTGTTTATAAAAACAAATTAGCTGCCTAGCGACGTGTCACGCAGCGCAGGGAACCCCGCGCAGGAGCAGGGCCACCATGTCAGTGTCATTATGCAGAGGAAACGGCCACCTTGTTTGTCAATGACCGTTTTAAATGGAAAGTCTACCCAGTAGTTGGGACAGCTCCCCAACCCTCTCTGCCAAGAGAACGAAGACCACACAAAGCAGAGGCCCACAGAGAAAACCGGACACTCCCCGGAACAGAAGCTTCGTCCTCTCCCGTCTTGTCTTCCGTGCTCCATACGAACAGGAACACACCCCACTCTCCTCCTTCCTCTTCTCGTTTTTTCCCTTCCACTCCCAGGATAACCAATCTGGGCCCTTGTGCAAAGCCCAAACAGGGTTTCAATTTCATTTTCCCAGTGTCATCCAAAGTCATGCAACAGAGCCTCAGGCAGGGGACAGGAGACCGAGAGAAGCAAGGTAGTGACATCCAGACAGGGAGAAGGAAAGAGTCTACTGTGGGGATGCCAAGAGCATTCAAGTCCAAGTGGTTCACCGTCATCCACGTGTTTTAATGTGTCTTGCTTTACCTCCTTTCCAAATTTTTGTGCAGTTTAAAAGAAATCAGGCTATGTGCAAGTAAGCTACTTACTGCCAAGGAGAGAAGAAGCAGCCAAGTCATTCCATCTTGCTTTCTGCATGCTGCCAGTGCTTACGGCAGAAGCAGCCTTGCTGCATGGGGTCTTCCAACATGTTGTACCCAGGGCTGTGGCGGGGGGGGTGGGGGTGGGACAGAAAAGGCAGCAAGTAATCCCAGCCACACTGCAGACCCTCACACACGTCACCACCCACACATCAGGACGGGAATCGTCACTCCTGCTTTATCCAGGAGCCAAGTGCTCGAAGACAGAGAGCAGGACAGAAGCTGGCTGTCTCCTTACCCCTCACAGGACCCTGAGCAGCCCTCACCCAGAGGGGCCGAGATGGTCATTAAATATTCCACAGTTCACAGCCATGAAAATCACACCACAACTGAAAAAGCACACAAAATCTAAACTAAATATAAAATCGAAGCTCTTGTTACATTTTTCACAGTTCATGAAGGTCTTTTTAATTATCTCAAGCTGAACAAAAGAATTATTTCTCAGTCACTTTATGCAGAAATAAGAGTCAATCCTGCCCACAGAACCCATCAGTCAATTCAGGCCAGGATGGGCCAGCCCCTGGGTATGTCTGTAATCGCCAGGTACAGAGAGGACCTTCCCGAGCCCGACACACAAAGCCCCCAGGACTGCCACAGTCAGAGACCAGCCAAGCATCCTGGCAAACACGAAGGACAGGCATCTTGCACAGAAAGGCCATCTGGGCTGGCCCCAGCTCAGTGGTGGGGTGCTTGCCTAGCCTGCGCCTAGCCCTGGGTTCCATCTGAAGCAGCATTTCAAGAGCCCAGCAGTGACCAGAGCATCCCTTTCACTCCACCCTGGGATGGCCAGATTTCTCTCCCCCATCTTCTCGGGTGAAAGGCAATGGGAAGGAACCTGGTGTCCTCTCTGCTTGTCACATGCACAGTTCTGTGAAGAGAAGGCTGGGACCCTGGGGCTGATATTAGTTCCAGGTCACCACTCGGGCCCTGAGCAGGGAGTGGGGCAGGCTGCCCAAGGAGGCAAGGGACGTTGGGCTGGATAACAAGCATGCCATGAGGGGGAGCAGCAGCAGAAGGAGAGGTCTCCTCAAGGCGGAGCTCAGAGGATCTGGATCCCCTCTGCTGGCCCCTGAGGTGGTCACTTCTGTCAACACATCAAATGTTCATTACAGCAGACTTTCTTTGTAGTGCATGGTGGCCGAGACTGAGGACAGAGGAGCTAAAGCAGGGCTGGCCAGTTCCTTTCCTAGAAGGGAATTCTGAATAGGCAGGGACAGGCCTGGGTGCCGCCTGGACCACAGGGACAGCAGAGCCGACCCCCAGTCTTGCTCTTCCCCCTCACATCATTGGCTCATTTTGGAAGTGAAGCGGTGGATTTGGTCTCTGATGGGCATGGAACATGGGCAGGCGAGGGACACTGGGGCAGAACCAGTGAGGAACAGCTAGGACAGTGGCCACATGGACACTCGCTGCCAAGCTCTCCTTTTCTCCCTCCCAGCCATGCCTTGGGGCTGAACGAGGCACCTCCGGTCTGGGCTTTGGTCCCTTTTGTGGGAAGCTGGGCTGTCACACCTGCCCCTCAGCTGGCCACAGGCCCTGGGCACATACGAGGGTGACGGAACTGATGGAGCCTCAAAGAAAGAGCCTAAGCAGACACTACCAGCCTTGCTCACCCAGGCCTCCCAGCCTCCAGCCTCCAGCCTCCAGCCTCCAGCCTCCCAGCCTCCCAGCCTGAGGCGGTAATAGAAAGGCCTGTGAACTTTCCTCCCTGAGGAAGAGACAGAGGTGGAGCCCTGGGAGGGTCCCCACGGGGCCTGGCAGGGGTCTGCCAGTATTTGGCAAGGATGTGGAACTTTCTAGTCTGCTAATCGTGCCTTCGCATGGAACACAAAGTCATCTTTATGAATGAAACTAGAGAAAGAAAGAGAAGAGCAACAGAGACCCAGGGACACGGGTCACCCTCCAGCTCCTCCTGGAAGACCCCAAGACGCCGGCAGCCCTTCCCAGCACAAAGCAGGGCAGGCTGGCTGCTCTCATGGCTGCCATGGAGGAGAGGCTGGTCCACACTGGGTAGACAACTCCCAGCAGTTCCTGCTGGTCATTAGTCACTGGGCAAGGCCAGGAGGAGGGACGTCCCACTCGCAATGCATTTCAACAGACCTCACTGCAAAGCACACCCCTCCCCAATGGGTGCAAACCTCCCCGATGACCCAGCGATCCCTCTGTGAGAACACCTAGTCACCTGCAGTGGGTCAGGCCAGGTGCTGGGCCAGACAAGAGCCAGTGCCGAAATTCAGTGCAGATGTCGGGGAGGCTGGTGGCCACCTGCTCACCTCTGGGGGGCCTTCAGGCCCCAGGGGTCTCTCTCCTCTCCGCTTCCTCCCCACCCTCCCAACTCCAGCAGAAAAGCTCCCCCTCCCGGGCCCCGCTGCCTCTCTGTATTTGAGGCACATGTTGTCCACAGCACTCCCATAACTGTGTGCCCTGCTACACGCCCTCCCGGACGTTCTCCCTGAGATGAGAACCTGGGGGACACTGGTGTGTCTCTAAACGTGTTTGCTTCCTATGTCACACACTACCAAGTGTGGCTCACAGGCCAGCAGCAGGAGCTTCACTGGGGAGCTTATTAGAAAGGGGGTGTCCAGCCATGCCCAGACTTACTTATCCAGGATCTGCCTGCTAACAAGCTGCCCAGCCAGGCCACTCCTACATGCACTAACACCTGAGAGGCAGCGTCCTTGCGGTGGATGTGCCAGGCAGGCCTCACATGAGCCAGCTCCGACACGGGACAGCCCCTCGTGCCCCTTCTCTTTCCCTGGTAACCTGAGCTAGCCACCTGGGCACACAGGAGAAGCTCATCTCACTCCTCACACACCCTGTGCCAGGAATCCCAAGACTCACCAGGACAGTTAAGATTCTTCCCAGGCTGACCACAACGCCAAGCCACCCTGCCCTGTCGGCCTGTGCCCAGTTACCCCGCCTGTCTCTGGCCCAACTCCCTCCTTGGTGCCTCATTCTGATTGGTTTTTTGGGCCTGGTCGACCACTGTCTTCTAGTCTCATGTTGCAAATTTCCTTCCTCTCCGGGGTATTTTAGGCCATGCAGGTGGAAATGCGAGGCTTTGGACCCCTTCAGCACAGCCTCACATCTCCAATTGACCCCACTCTGCCTCTGGCCCTGGTGGGGACACAGTCAGAGAACCCCAGACGGCCTCCACTGCTGGCATCACACCTGCAAATGTGTGTCCAGCTTTCTCCTGTCACCTCCTACGTTACCACCACCCGCGAACACCCTGATGCACGGTGAGGCATAGGTGTGTCACACGCTGGGAGACAGTGGGTCTGGGGATTCTGTGTTCAGGTTCTCCACCAGCTCTGGACAATCATAACACTACACCTGGGCCCGAGGTGTGCAAAATCCAGAAGACAACCATGTGCAACGGCCAACTGTTCCTTAGTGGAGACAACCAAAGATGTGGTCTGACTCAGTGCGGGTGCAGAAAACAGGACTGATGGGGAGGAGGAAAGAGTCAATCACCCATGAACAAATGAAAACTCACCTTTGTCAAAATCATCATCCTCAATTGCTGCTTCTTGAAGTTTCTGAAGCTTTACTCTTAAGGAGGTCACCTGTGTTGGTTTGGAGGGGGAAAAGGAAAGACAAGTCACAACAGCAAGCTTATTTTATGAAAGCTAAGAACATAAACTATCTCAAAGTGAACCTCCTGTCAGGTGCAGTGGTGCACACCTGCAATCCCAGCAACTCCAGAGGCTGAGGCAGGAGGACCACAGATTCTAGGCCAGCCTCAGCAACTTAGTGAGAACCTATCTAAAAATAAAAAATAAAAAGGCTGGGATGTAGCTCAGTGGTAGAACACCCTATGTAACATCCCCAGACCCCCAGAGATCTGGTGGCTCAGAGAAGTGGCACGAAGACCCTGGGCACAGCTGGACACCAGAGAACCACACTGCTTAGGACCTCCTAAGTCCCAGGTATCCAGAGCCCCAGGTCCTCAGGATATGACCTACAGCCAGATAAAGAGTCAAAAGGAAGGAGAAGCTGCCTGTCGATCTCCGGGGTGAAGCTGGCAAACTGCAACGGAACCCTGACCAGGGCAGGTCTCCCTAGGTGCGTGTCTAAGGGAATGAAGCTGGCCGTGCTGGCCGCGCAACCTGCAAACAACAGCTGCCTCCCTCGGGCCACACCTGGAACTGAGAAATGCAGGTGGGATGCTAGGTTTGCACAAAGTCTCTGACAGAGCTGGGCCAACCTCTCTCCAGCACCCTGTGCTCTGTGTCTGCTTTCAGATTCTCTTCCCCTGCCCGGGACATCAGCTCAAGAAATGTGTCAATTAGGTACCTGTGGCCCATCTAAACGAGATTAATTAATTTGCTTTTAAAGGTCAATCAAAGGCTGGGGCTGTGCTCAGTGGCAGAGTGCTTGCCTAGCATGCGAGAGGCACTCACTCCCTCACACACCTCCGCACGCCCAGGCTCAGAGACTTGCACACCCACTTCCTCACACACCTTTGCACACCCAAGCTCAGAGACTTGCACACCCACTCCCTCACACACCTCCTCATGCCCAGGCTCAGGCACTCTGCACACCCATTCCCTCACACACCTCTGCACACCCAGCTCAGAGACTTGCACACCCACTCCTTCACACACCTCTGCACACCCAGGCTCAGGGAATTGCACACCCACCCTTGCATACACAACACAATGAAACCTCATGCAGCCTGGAAGTCCAGTCTGGGGTGGCCCTTGTGGCTCCCTGGTGTAGAGCCGCCTCCCCATCCTGCTGCTCCCCCTCTCCGATGACAGACAGCACCTCAGTGCCAGGGCTCCCACCTCCCAGCTCGTCCTAACTCCAAAGCACCTGTCTTCTCACTTGAGCCTCAGAATGTCCTGAAAGTGTCCCCTCTGAATAAGGAAACTGAAAGCCAGAGACATGAAGTGGTCAGAAAGAAACCAAGTGTCCCAATTTGGTGGCAAGGACAGGAGTTGCTCCTTTTGTAGCAGATGAAATGGGAGGAGTGGGGCAAGAGCAGGTGACCATCGATTGGGCTGGCCCATGCAGGGTGCGGTGCCCATTTCTATATCGTGCACCCCAAACCTCAGCTGGTTCAATCTCCCCTGCCCCAGTTTCCTGTTCCTAAGCTGAGAAAAACCACATGGGGCCCCAGGAGGGCTGTGGAGGAGCTGCAGCCAGAGAGCAAATCTGCACACTTGGGCCACAGAGAAGGAGAGGCAGAGCACGCATTCAAGGGGGGAGACACAGTGTGGCACTGCTGCTCCCAGGGAAGCCGTTCCAAGCAGCATGCCCGGCTCCCGGCCCTCTGCCTGCTGACCTGAGCTCCTGACCCTCACAGCAAGGGCCGGCAGAGACACTGACCTCCAGATGCCTCCGGGTGCTCAGCAGGCTGTCCCGCAGCACGGGCTCCCATCTCTTGAGCAGGGTATCCCAGCCGTGGACGTCCCCTGAGCCACTGCCCTCATCACAGCCACAGCCAGCCAGCGAGGGATCCAGGGAAGAGGAGCAGCCAGTGTCCATGTTTAGGGAAGAAAGCAGACCACACTCCGGCCCGGAGCTCTTCTCCAACACCTGGGCCAGGTCTGCCAAGCCCTGGGCAGCCGTGAGACGGAAGGGCTGAGGGAGACCAGGAGGGTCCTCGTGGGACCTGTCTGGGCTGGTGGCTCTGACTCCCATTTCCTGGGGGCTCTGATGAGTGGTCTCCGCCTCCCTAGAAGGCGGACAGCCTTCTGCTTCCCCACGTTCCCCGGCAGAGCCAAGAGAGAGGCGGATGAAGCTGAAGCTGGAGGTAAAGCTCTCACAGGAGCCAGGCAGGGTGTGGGGGGCTGCAGGGCCGCTGCCCAGACTGCGGCTGCTACCACACCCCTCCAAAGGCGCCTGCCCCCTGGAGGCCCCAGCGCCCCTTGCTCCTGCACACAGGGTTGGGTCCTGGCTGGTGCCTGGGGCAACAGAACTGTCCATGGATAAAGACTCTTGCTGCCCCCAGGCATCATCGGGGCCACGCAGCCCGGCAAGCCTGGCAGGCAATCCGGTGCCAGCTCTGGGGTGAATCCAAAAGCCCATTGGGCTTCCTCCTGCAGAGGTCTGGGCCAGGCTCCGGTGGCCCACAGAGGCCACAGCAGGGGTTTTGGAGCTGTTAGGGACACAGCTCCCCAGCAGGGGTTCCCGGTCATGGCTACTCCGGCCAAGGTTGCTTTGTCCAGCCCTGGATGCGGAGTGGTGGAGCTCCTTGCTGCCCACCCCTCTCAGATCCTGGAATGGCGTGTCCACTGCTGGGAACCTGATTCCGGGCCCAGCTGTGCTTCTCATGTAGCCTGGCCTCCGTGCCAGCCGCCGCCTCCGAAGCGAAGCTGCAGGTGGTGAGCAATCCCAGATGCCTGGAAAGGAAAAGAACAGCACATGGTCCTGGCTCCCCTGGAACAGCATTTGGAGAGTGTGCCCAGGGCTAGAGGTCACTGATGGGTGCATCTGCCAAAGACACGGGTCGGCCCAGAGAACCAGGGACAAGCCAGTATGAAGATGCTGACGATCCTCAGGAAGCATCTGCCTTGAATGCACAGAGCTCGGCCTGCCTCCCAGGCCCTCTGGCACGGAGCAGCTGGCCCCCCAGCAAGCTAGGCCAGCACACCAGCGTGCACACAGCTCGAGCCCCCAGCACTCCCGGGTCTCCCCTGGAAGGTCAGCACCTATTTATCCTGGGCACGGAGAGCAACGGATCTGAAGATGGACAATAGCACAGAGGGAGATCCAGCTGTCTGCTCCAGCCACACGATGAACAATGCCCTTCGTCTCTGAGCTGTCTGTGTCCCCCAGGCCCCATCCACTGCCTTGGGCCATGAATGTCCACCATTTCATCCACACAGGGGCTGCAGGAGACCTTCCTGTGTTCTCCAAGCCAGGCCCAAGTTCCACGCCCAGTTCTGCTGCAGGAACAGACGGTCCCTGATGCTGCACCTCACTGCACACTTGCTGGATGGGTGACCTTATTTACCCTCTGTGTGCCTTGAGTCCCTTCCAGTAAAGCTGAGTGGGCATGGAAGCACCACCCACAGGGCTGCTGTGAGCACCAGATCACAGGGCCATGCTATGCAGAGCACCTGTCCAGCGCTGGGCAAGCATGAGCCTGCCAGGCAGTCACCATCCTCATGTGGTGCTGCTGCTCGTGACAAGTGTCCTCCATGGGAACTTCATCGCTCCCTACCTTGTGGATCAACCAAGCCAGGAATCACAACCCTCCCTCCCTCACAAAGGCCAGGAGACTTGGAGAAGCTCACCTGGATGTGGCCAGTTGAGAAGACCAAAGCCTCTCGCTCTAGCAGACCTCAGGTGTTCTCAGAGGCCAGCCAGATACTTGCTCCTCCTCCCAAAACATACATGTCCAGCCCTTCGTCCTGTTGAATGGGGGTCATCAGGCGCTGATCCCACTGAGCTACCATCACAACACATTCAATCCCAGGTGACAAGGGGCACTGATAATGCTGGGGACGTGAGCACAATGGCCCGTGGCTGCCTGTCCCCTGACTATGCACTAGGGACAACAGAGGTCAAGACATGCTCTTGCCAACTGCAGGACCCAGGGAGAGTTATTGCCACCCAATGGACACAGATTCTGGACGCTTACAGCAAAGGGCAGACCAGACCCAGGGACAGCGCAGGGTGGTGGAGGAAGCGGTATCGGCAGGGAGGGGTGTGGGACTCTGCAGCACCCGAGAGCTCACCCTTGGCTTTGCCTGACTCCCCTAGCAGACCTGCCCAAGCCTGGCCAGACAGGGCCCGTGTGATTCGAATCACATCCTTCCCTCCCTCAGCCTCCAGCTGAACCAGCTGGGTCACGGCTTGAAGGTTAGGAAGGCAGCGGGATTTCAGTCCATTTTCCCGCAACCGAGGCCACACCAAATTGGAACCACAGGGAAAGGAAGACTGCCAGAGGGACCATGAACAGGCCAGGTGGGCACCCTCGCTCTGCTGGAAGGGACAGGGTCCACCTTTTCCTCCAGGGGGTCTTCCTGCCAGGGTGACCCTGGCAACATCAGAGCCCAACCAGCCAGGAGTGCCAGGAGGGGCTGGGGGAGGAGGAGGGAGTGAGGGAGAGGCTCAGAGGTGCCACACTGCCACCAGGTCAGGCTCGGGTCAGACTGGCAAGACAGCCTCTAAGGAGCAAGGACTCCAGAACAGAGAGAACCCTGAATTCTGGCTTCAGCCTCCAGAGAGAACAACTCACAACTGATATCTTGGAAAATGTGTCCAGTGAAGCTAACATTGTCTTTTAGCTGTTGTTTTTAAACCCAGTGGCTCTCACCTGAGTGACACTCCTGAAGGTAGAAGATATTGCCAAGGGGGATTGTCTGCTCAAGATCTCACTCCTTTTCTCACCTGGCACAGCCTTTTCTGAGACCACCCACCAAGGGTTCTGAAGCAGAGCTGGGGTCCAGCTCCTATATGATGAGCTCCCGGGTGGGAGCAGTGTTCCCACCAGGGTTCGGGAAGGTGCAGTGAGGCACAGGTGCCCACCACTGAGCTGTTACCATGTGGGGACCTGGCTCCCTCCCCTTCCTGCCGCTCACTAATCCCAACCCTGACACAGGCCTTCAGCAGCAGCTGAAAAGTGGAGGCTGTCCCAGGGTACTCTCCCTACCCCTTGGAGCACTGGAGAGGGCAGGGGCCGGACAGAGGGGCTGGAGCTGTCCAGAGAACCCTGCTGGGATGGGCTACACAGGGCAGATTGAGGTCTCTAGAAGACGCCTGGGTTTTCCTGCAAAGCCCCTTCACCTACCCTTTTTCCTTTCTTCTTCTTACCCTTGAGGAGCTTATGCTGTCTGCTGCAACCAGAACCCAGTAGTCCCCCGATCATCCTCCCTCAACCTCAGCTCTGTGGTCCGTTCAAAATCCAAGCCCTTCAGCTGAGGGTGGGGTGAGGCTCTCCATCCCTGGAGGCAGAGCCTCCTTGCCACCCAACTGAGGTGCAGTCAGATGCAGCAGGACCTTGGTGGGCAGGAAGGACAGCAGAGCCAGGAGGGCAGAGCCCAAAGAACAGGAAGTGCAGGTAGGCTCTGAGGGCCATTGGGGAACAGCTGTGCTGCCCTTCCACGTGAACCCAGAGGTGGCTTCCTTCTGCCTTCTGGTCAGGCTGGGCAGGGAGAGGGAGCCCGGCGCACCATAACAGACTCTAGGCACAGAGCACAGGCGCCTCGCCTCCTCCAGGATACAGACTTGCTGGGACCCATTAGGTGGCCCCGTCTCCACCCACCCAGGCCAGTGGGCCACAAGCTAAAGCAAGTGCCAGACAGGAGCTCAGGACAGACCCGGGTGTCAAGGGGGCTCTAGCTATAGCCCAACAGGGTGTCTGGAAAATCTGCTTAGGGAAACTGGGAGATGCCAGGATCCACCAGCCTGGTGGGCAAGAGTCCTCTCTGCCTCGCCCCTTCCACTATCCCTCCGCCTGCCCAAATCCTTCCTCTGCCTCCCGCATCAGCTACCTTTCCCCAACCAGCCAGTCCTCGTCACCCCTGTGCCCTATTGTTAACCCCTAGCACCCTAAGTGTTTGGTGTCTATCAGGGAGGAGGCTCCGAGGTCCACAGCAGGGCGAGGTCACTGTTGGGGAGCACAGCCAGCTCCAAGGACTTCAGAGAGACCCTCCTCGGGCAGAGGGACCAGCTGTGGAGGATGAGCAGACACCAGGCTGGGGACAGGATAAGAGCAGTCTGCAGATGGGGCTGGGGCCTGGGTGAAGCAGGGCCTGCCTGGAGAGAGTGGGGAGCTCCTGGAGACCCAAGGAAGCCACCTGAGAAAGAGAGAGCCTTGGGGAAGAGAGAATGGGAAAGAAGAGGATGGAAATCACCCAGGAAATCGCTGTGTGGCTCCAGGACAGTCAGGGGACATCAGGCACAGCTAGTGGGCTGTCGCCGCCCATTGGCTTACTCTAGCTCTTCAGATGGGAGGGGTCCCAATGTGGCTGTGCACTGGAACCACCGGGATATCTTTAAAGATCCTGGAGTCCAGGCCTGAGGCTGCTGAAATCACAGTTAGGGCCCAGGGCTCAGGGTCTGGATTTGGGGCGATGCCGTGGGTGATTCTGGGAGGCAGCCAGAGCCGGCAGCCTCACTTTACGGGAAAGCCCTATTCAGCCTCCTCTGCACACGAAGCTCAGACCCATCCTAAATGTGACCTCACAGCATCACAGAGGCTGTGTCTTTGCAAAAGCCTTCTCTCCCATGCTTTTTGTGTTGTAAGATACAAATTAGCTTCTACTACAGGTGCATAAAGTGTGGTCTGTCTGTGTTAAAGTCTGTCCCCATACAGCTCTTCAAATACTCTGCCCAAAGAGGGCTTCCACTTCCCGTCAGACCACAGGCCCACCAGAGACGTCACTGCCACGGTCTCCTCTCTGATCCAAGGAAGGAGAGCAAGGCCCCCAGCCCTGCACACATAGTCCGGTTGGTGCTCACAGGGCAGAAGTCCTGCGTGTGACACGCAGCCTGAGGGCCTGGAACAGGAGACGGCTGCTGGTGGGAAACAGTGAGGTCCACAGGCACCTGCAGTTGAGTGTCTTGTACCAAAGGGACTTTATGAGTTTTGATAAGTGGCTGTGATGAAGCCCTTGGCATTGGAAGAAGCTGGTGGAGGGAGCCCTGCGCCCACTTTGCAGCTTCTCTGTGCACCTGCAATCATTCTAAAACAAAAAGCTACTACAAACCCGTGCCACACGGGACATGTGAGCCTGTCCTTTGCTGTAGCAAGGAGTGCAGCTCCAGAGAGATGGCCCAGCTCGAAATCCAGCGCTGCTGCCTCTGAGAACGCAGCCAAGTGCCTCACTACCCTGCTCCCACCCTCATCTGGACGATGAGACTCCACCTCACAGAACTGCTGGGTCGTGGCCTTGATGTTCTACACTACTGGGCACAGGGCAGCTGAAAAAAAACCAAGTAGATCCCCTTTGGCACATGGACAGTTTGAGCAGAAGGTCCTTGGAAACAGCACTTGCAAAGGGCATGGTCTCTGAACTCCTGGGTCTGCCCACAGATGCAGTTCTCCAGGAGGTCTCCCCTTCCTGGGTGACTTCTGGGGTGCCGCACCAACCAGGAAGATCAACCAGAAACGGACAGCATGCTGAGACGAACCTTCACAGACTGTCCAGCTCCCATTTGCTCTTTCATAGCTCCTGAAAGTCACCGACTCTCTCCCAAGAGGCTGAGGCCACCTCCCCTCCGCTATGAGGCAATGCCCCTTTGGGGGATTCGCTTACTTTCCTTGCAAGGCCCCCATTCCACAGCATAAGGACCAACCGACCAGTGTGCCTCCCCTGCCAGCCTGCCTGTGGGCAGTCGCACACCCAGCTTGGCTCCTGGAACAGCAGAGGAAGTCCTTACTCCTGCATCA